GGGGGGACGCAGTTTGGCAAACTCCAGCGCCCGGCTGGTCCCCGCTCACGGCCGCTTTCCCTTCCTTCTCTCCTCTCCGCAGAGCACCCCCGCCCCGTCTCCCGGAGCCCGCCCCGGCAGAGCGCTCCGGAGGTGCCAGCAACCGCCAGGATTTTTGTCTGTCTTGTTTGTGTGTTTGTTGGGTTTTGGTTTTGTTTTTGTTTTTCTTTTTTTTTTTCCCCTCGTTTTCATTTGGCTTTCTAGTCTTGCTGGGAATGGCAGGGGCAGCGGCGCCTGGAGAAGGAACAAGTGTGGAGAAAGGGAGAGGGAGCCGGAGCTAAATGACAGGATGCGGGCGACTTGAGGCACAGAAAGAAGCCAGCTTCCCTCTGCCCCCGGGACTGCCCTTGCGGACCGCGCTTTCTGCTCCTGACTCCGGCCGGAGGATTTAAGACCTAGGAAGAGTTGTGCTTGGAGGGCGTTTATTTTTTTTATTATTTTTTTTTTTTCCTCCTTTCCCTGCTGTCGGAAGGGAAAATGGATTGGGGACTTCTCCTGCACTGTGCAGCCCTCACCTTCACCCTCGCCAGGGCTCTGCGAAGCGGTGAGTGCCACGGGGGACGTCGGGTCTCGGCCTGGGCTCCGGGGCTGCCGGAGCGGGGGGCGGACGATGGGGCCGGCACCGACCTGAGCCCGGCCGGGGGGAACTTTCTGCCGGAGGAGGGAGGCGGCGCGGTCCTCGCCCGAGGCTCGCCCGCCCCGGCATCGCCTTCCGAGTTTATTCTCTGCTCTTTTGGGTTGTTGTATAAAGCAGGCTGCTCGTTCTCACTAGATCAGGACAGCCAATTATCTTAATAGTGTTTCCTGCATAGGCAATTAAATAAGTCTCGCCTTCGATATCTGAAAGATAATGAACACTTTAAAGGAAAGGCTTTCTCCCCCCCCCCCTTTCTTTTTCCAAAGCGTAAGACTTCAGATTATCGTGCCCTTTAGTAGCTGTGTGTGTACCTGCGAGTAGTCTTCAAACGGAGAGACCACTAGACTAGCCCTTTCCCCAGTCTGCAGTTTACGTGCAACTTACACAGTGCCAAGAGAGAAGCTGAGCTTTTCTGTGAAGGCTCAAGACTCCCTTCCAAGAGAGAAATCCCGTAACAACAGACTGATGTAGCTAGTCTACTATCAGGCAGCCCTTGAAAATACAACTAATTAAAAGCAGCGTGCTCCTCCTTCCCGAACAATGCCAGAGCACCGTGAATATTTCACTGCATGATGCATTTTTAAAGACGGTCTAATTGTGGGACTGCTTGACGTTTAGCTCTTGCACATGAAATGGCTCGTGCGAGTTCTACTTTCCCGACAAATCCTGAGCAATTATTATTAACTAATTATCAAATATTTACTTTTGCCTGACTGGGTTTTCAATCAAAGTAATTAAAAGAAGAGAGCATCCTCCACTTACGCTGTTATATTGTTTTAATAAGGGACCACAAGTGGAGTGTCATGGAAGAGAGAGTATTAAAATCGCCTGGTTTATGATGGAAGTTAATCTCTTTCCCAATATGTTTTGAGGAAGCTGCTTAATTTAATCAGGACGAGCCGCCTCCTCCAGTGCTGCGGTGCAGGAGCAAAGGCGTTAGAGGCGTGCGCCAAACCCGACTTGGGGATGCTCTGAGAGGTGCACTTTGCTCATTCCCCCGGCCCAGGTGAGGGGTGCAGGCAGCTGCCTCCCTGGCCCCCACATAAACCAGGACTGCCTCTAGTCCTGCACCCTCTGAGGGGTGGAAGGAGGGCACCCGGTGCTCTTGTTGATCATTTCTCCCCTTTAAAATGAGTAGAGTGGGTTGCTGGGCCACAAGCTGTTAATGTGGTGGCCCTGCTGGAGTCACCAAGGCCATTAACCTCCTCTGTAACCTACCAGACCTACTAATGCCACCTTCACCTACGTGCAGTACTAGTGTCCGCTAAATTAATTCATTAACCTTATTTAGAGCTAATGGTCCGAAGTCATTAGAAACTGCTCTTCTTAATCAAGTGTGAGAGAGATTGCACAGAGCCAGGGAGTCTAGCAGACCGCATTATCTTATTACACTGTCACTTTCCCAGAAGTCGCAGATTAAGGAGTGCTGGTGGTAGTGAGTCCACCTCAGCGTCCTCTGAAGTGACTCTGTCAAGTGACTAGAAGCAGCACTGCTTTATTTCAGGCATTTAACAGATGCCAGACTCTGCCATGTTATTTGCAGGGCTGGAGTGGGCTTAATGAGACAGGATCACTTTCTGAGTGTGCTTACACGAGGAGGAAAAGGCAAGATTCCCTGAGAGCCCCAGACAGTGAATTAGCAAGATCACCAGTGACAGCTTTTGAGCTTTGAGCTGCAACGCCTTTTGTTCTGGTCAGAGGAAAACAGCCTTTTTTGCAAAGGCAAAGCAGAAATAAATAATAAGATAGCCTTTCCCAGCAACATGCTTAGCAGTATCTGGGTTTTAACCATACACCTGAGTACGTCTCGTCCCCTTCCCTCTTAATTTATGGCAAATAATTTTTATAAAGTGTGTAGCTTTATGCATTTTTGATGTGCGCTTCCTCATTCATTTCCATTTGACCTGTTTTTCCTACAATAAAATCCCCTACATTTATAAATTCATGCTGAGAGCAAGGAATGCCATTTTGCTTTCACAGGCAACGTATTAGATACAGCACTGCAGCCTATATACACCATTATTGGGATGCAGTGATACACAGTCTTGCTTTTTAATGTGGACATTCTTCCTGTCTGTAGTTTACTGTCATATTTTATTGCTCAAAATTAAACAATCAATGTGTGGAGAAAGTTTTTCCTCCCTGAACGTCTATAGAAAGAAATCCATAGTAGTAAAGAAGTGATAACACAAACCTGCACTGGACAGTGAAGTGAGTGACTGTGTAGGTTGGAGTTCTTGTCCCTTTTTATTTTTCCTATAAACCTTAAAATGTAACCCTGACAATGCTGGCCAAAGGAGCAAGATGCAGCATGCCACATTTCACAGTCACACTTGGTGAAACTTTTGCAACTATTTTGCTATTAGAAATAAATCTTTGTTGTTGTAGGGGGGGAGGAAGGGATGGAGGGAAGAGGAAAGGATGTTGTTCTGCTCCATTACTTTGATGCAGTCTCCAAGCATGAGCAAACTTCCTTGAAGGAATAAATAGTGGATGATTTCTGCTTCACTAAAACCACTTTGTTCTCTGCTACCCTGGGTTTGAAGAGCACAGATAGTTTCAACCTGCCTAGATTTATGGACTGATAAAACAAAGGGAGGGTCTGCTGCGAATGAGCTTGGATCCACCAAGACAATCCCAGTGGTCAGTGACACAGACCAGGCTTATCCCATAGCTGGGCAGGGGGTCAAATGGCATCCTTTTAGCTCTTCTCCCAGCTTTCCTTAAAACTTCATACTTAAGAAGATTATACTTTTTGGAGACAATTGTGTCCCAGACACCCTTCTGAGCCAACATTAACACTGTTGTGAGGATGCAAGGTTTTAACACTGTAAGGGGCACTGTTTGCTCTGGGCAGGGGGGTGCTTCTTGAAAGGGTACTGTTTGGAAATGGGGTACCTTCTGCTGCCTGTCCAACTGCTGGACTTACGGATGGGCACGCAGAGGCAGGCCTCTTCCCTCCTGTAAAATGTAGCAGAAATGCCTTTGAGTTAAAGGCATAAGGATGCAGCGAAAGTTTGCCTGAAGAAGGCTGCAAACCACCCCCCCACACCCCCCCGCCCAGAATTCCCACGGCGGTCGGCTGGTTCGCTGCTGCGGGCTGAAACCGGGTCCTTGCCGGGGGGGAGAACTGAGAAAAGCCGACCTGTTTGCTTCCCCTGCAGATAAATGCGGCGACACGATCAAAATTTTAAACCCCGGGTACCTCACGTCTCCCGGCTACCCGCAGTCCTACCACCCCAGCCAAAAATGCGAGTGGCTGATCCAGGCGCCGGAGCCGTACCAGAGGATCATGATCAACTTCAACCCCCACTTCGACCTGGAGGACCGCGACTGCAAGTAAGTGCGGGCGCCGCGCTCCGGAGCGCCCCGGCGCCACCTGCCGG